AACAAGAACAAAAAACCAATGACAAAAAAAGAGAAAAGCCTGTAAATAGTTCAAGTTCTATTAGTTGACCTTTAGGAGTGCTTTCCAGTTGAGTCTGATGGGATGCATGCCCTCGCCCCAACATCTGTTTTTGGTATTCCCTCAGGACTTCGTTGCTCTGCTACCCTTGCTGTTCTGTTGCATGCCCTTAGTGCTTTGTCTTGGTGTGGTGGGTCAGATCGGGTGCAATTCCCACACTGTGTCTCCAGTGTTTCCTGTAGGCCTATGGGTCAGTGAGGGGTGTCGTGTCTTGTAATGGGCCTGGCCATATGGTCCTCTGTGCATTGGCTGCTTTGAGCAGGAATATCCTCCACAAGGCTTGGTGGGCCAAGATGTGTTTCACTCTCTCTTCCTCCCCCTTCAGTTGCTCCCATGTGCTCTGATCAGACATGTCCCTCTCCCTGAGCTATAGCTTTATTGCTCTCTTCTGAAGTGAATTCTTCTTGGGGGAGGGGCAGGTGTCCACGTAGTTGGGATTGGGGCCAGCCCCTCAGACTTCCGTACTGGTTCCCTGCTTTATGCCTGTATATTGCATTTGCATCTTGGAGCACAGGGTTGAAGTCTGGTCCCTCTTTCCCTGTGGAGATATAAACAATACTCTCCCCTTGGGTATTGTTTATTCCATGTACTGCACAGTGTATCTTTCTCAAGAGTATGAATCATGACTGTCTTGCTTATTGTTTCTCTAAGGCTTAGAACAAAGCTTGGCACCTAGTAGATACCAAATGGGGGCAGTGGTGGTCCAGAAGTAAAATTATTGCCTTCAAGACAGGATACTTGAGTTCAATTCCCAGCCAATATACCTCAAGTATAGCCATCACTCATCTGACAGCAGATGCATGGGGGTACCAAAAAAAACCACCCTGGAATTGCACTGGGCTGGGCAGAGCTTTCCTGGTACACTTTTTTCTTGTTAGGTGAGCATTGAGGAACTTGCTCTGAGTTAGTGCACCCAGTGGTGTCACCTGGGAAGGTTCTCTCTGGGCACAAAAGTTTTGCTAAAACCTTGATTTTTGTGATGGCCAATTCAAGAGAACAGAGTGCAGCTGTGAAATGTTGTTTCCTCTTTGGGAAAAAATGCTGCAGAAACTGCTGTGATGTTGAACACAGCTTACAAGGACAGCACTATGGGAAAAATTCGTGTCCACATGGGTTTCTTGTTTCAAAAAAGTGAAATGTCCATTGATGACAAACTTCATTCAGGAAGTATGTCAACTCCCTGAACAGATGAATATGTCAACTCGTAGTGCATTTGAAGTTGTTCCACCAGGTCAGACTGCTAATCAAGCTTTCTATTTAGAGGTTTTGAAAAGATTGCATAACAGTGTGTGACAAAAAAGGCCTTATTTGTGGCAGACAGGGCACTGGTTCTGCAACCACGACAATGCACCTGCTCACACAGCCATCGCAGTGTCCCAGGTTTTGGCAAAAAACAGCATGCCTTTCTTGCCCCATGACCTTACCTACCTAACCTTGCTCCCTGTGACTTCTTTTTTGGCAAATGTAGAGGTACATTAAAGGACAGTGATTTGACCATGGAGAAGAGGCGAAGAAAAAAACAAGGGAGGTGCTGTCAGCCATCCAAACAGATGAGTTTGAAAAATGTTTCCATGAATGGAATACATTTGACAAGTGTATTAAGTGTAATGGAGAATGCTTTGAAGGTGATAAGGTTGCTTTGTAAAAAAGA